GATAAGGTTCTAGAAATCATACGTGAAGCGGTTAGTCTTTCGGTAGCCAGAGCGCAAAGGGAAATAACCACAAACGAACGATCAGTAGGTTTTGTGAGAGAAGGCACTAGAGCTATAAAATCAAGCGTCAAGCCTTACTCTATCCTTAAAGCGGCTTCGGATTGGACTATAATGATGGATACGTATGAGAAACAATACAAAATCCCCGAGGATATTTGTGCGTCAGCCTCCAGACCAGACATATGTATTTAAATATTCGCGAATTTTAAAGAGAGTTGTGATGATAGAGCTTACGGTTCCTTGGGAAACCAACATCCCCAAAAACCATGCCATCGATGTTAATAAGTATTACGAGCAAGGTCAATACATATAGTTGTTTACCAAGATGATAATCAATATTACATTTTACTAGAAGCTTAAGGGACTTGAAGGAGCACGAGGTATAGATAAGATGAATAATTAACAACCATTACTAACACCATATCGATTCAATGATGTGTGAAAACATATATTATAAGTTGACTATCATAATCTACTAACAAAGTGCAAAAAACACATTATTTTAATAAGGAACGAGTGTAGTCTTAGATAATAGAAAATAATGTATATTGAGTTAAGGCTCGATAACATTATTGTCAAAAATAATATGTAAAATAATTAAGAAGTCCTATGTAGTAGTGTACATTTTTCTTGAAGTAAAATAAAGAATACGAAATAAAACATCTTTATAAAGTTTTTTTTTTATGGAAAAAGGGAGCAACCGAGCAGACGGCCTACTTGATGGTAGGTAGTTACCGTCGACCATTGACATCCGCAACGTAGATTTGCGGATGTGTTGCTGCCCTTGATTGGGGAAAAGGGGGAGGAAAAGGTGGGAAAGGAAAGGGTGGGAAAAGGGCAACCGGCTCTCTCACTCACCGGACGAAACGCAGCCATTAAAGACTACTTTACGCCTGTCCAGCCAGCCCATGTTCGAGCTGTAGTAACTTGACCACAGCTAGGCTCTACCACCTATAAAGTAAATATTCCAACAAATAAAACACTTGAAATTAAAATAATTGTTGAATTGTGGTTGCTAACATAAATATTCACACTTATTTTCATATAATCTCACCTACAATATTAAATATTAGAATAATACGAGTATACATATATCAATATTTTAAAGAAATATGTCGTTCTTTATACATTTTTTTTATTCTTTATGAATGAATATTTTATTAATATTTAACATTTTCCACCGCTGTTAACTATATTTCTATGAGTTGAATAGCAAAATATGTGTATATTATATTTACACATAAAAAAAATCAATCTGTATAAAAGCGACGACGACGAAAATGAAATACAAAACATGGTAGAAAATTTCTCTGTTTTCGAAATCTATTAAAATGTATGTAAAATCCAATAATATAACTTTAACTAAAAAAGATTACAATGCCTCAATAATTATTATTAAATTGATAATTTTTTAATGTCCTGGTAACATAATGCTTCATTTGGATAAGAATTAATAATAATATATGTATATTATACGTGACTCTTTTCACAGATGACTTAATAATTTTTTTGAATACTAAGTGGGTATTGTTATTAAATTATCATAGTTAGAGATATGTACATATACTCTGCGGACTTTTTCTAGATCCTAATAAGACCTGCAAAGTCGTCGTTCATCATTTTGTTGTATTGTTAATAGTTTTGCCACGCCACGCCACGCCAGATACATTTTCGATTTTACACCTCGGTTTACAAAAAAGCCATTTTCTAGGGGATATCTAATTTTTTTTTCAAAATAATATGTAGCTCATAGCGTTCCTCATAAACGGACTATCCAGAACTGAAGGAATTTTTCAAATCTTTTCAGTAGTTCCCGAGATTAGCGTTCAAACAAACAAACAAACTCTGAAGCTTTATAATATAGTAGTATAGATTACTAAGTTTTAATAAAAGGATGCATCTCCTTAATGCGTGCCTTAAAAAGTACAAAATTGATTTTAAACTGTATTATCATTTAGCCTATACCTCAAAATACAATAATTTATTTAGAAACTGTATGTAGTTTCAGCGTAAGTAATATTTCTTATAAAGTTATTTCTACAGATTGTACATGTCATTGCGATTTTTTACAACACCTATCTGCTAAGCAAAAATTATAATTTGTTTTCTTCTAAACCCCGTTCCTTAGTCCACAATGATGAATCCAAGGTAGAAGCTGTAACTGAACTAAGTTTACAGTAGAATCAAAATATAGAAAAAGTTAAACACAAAGTAGCTGTTTACGAAGATGATAATCAATATTATATTTTATTAGGAGCTTAAGGGGCTTGAAGGAGCACGAGGTACAGATAAGATGAATAATTAACAACCATTACTAACAACATATCGATTCAATGATGTGTGACACCATATATTATTATAAGTAGACTCTCATAATCTACGAACAAAGTGCAAAAAAAAACATTATTTTAATTAGGTACGAGTGTGGTCTTAGATAATAGAAAATAATATACATGGAGTTAAGGCTCGATGATATCATTGTCAAAAATAAATATTTTTTTAAATAAAATAAAGCATAGGAAGTAGAACATGGTTATAAAGTAAATATTCCAAGAAATAAAAAGCTAAAAGAAATTACAATAATAGTTGATTTAGGGTTGCTAACATAAATATTCACTTTTATTTAAATATAAGGTCATCTAGAATATTAAATATACATATTCTTATATATTATTCTTAGTATATGTCAAGATTTAAAAGAAATATGTAATCACTCTTTATAAAGGAATTATTTTCATATTAATATTTTACACTTTCTTCCGCTAATAACTATATTACACATTTAAAAAAATCTATCTGTATAAAAGCGACGAAGACGATACTGAAAAACGGAAACATGATAGATAACTTCTCTTTTTTCGAAATCTGTTAAAATTTATGCAAAACCAATAAAATAACCGAATAAAACTAAAAAAGACTGCAAAATCTCGCTAATTTATAAAGTAAACATTTTTCCATCATCTATACCTGAAATACGTCAGATACCTGAATACCTGAAAATACCTGAAAATCGCACAAAATATCGTAGTTAACAAGCAAGTCTTCACGATATTCATATTAGTTATGTAGCAACAGGTAAAAATAAAATAAAAATAGTTCTTAAAATGAGGCAAACAGCTAAAAATGCATTTCCTTGGATTAGAACGCCCAGGACGTTGACTTCTGAGAAATGATGACACTTTCAGAGACAAGTAAAAAGAGTTTGGAGTCAACAGCAATTACCCTTGAGTTTCAAGTAACTGTAAGCAGTGTTAAATTTTTCACAACAGTGCAAGTTTGCATCGTCACATGTAGGAAACGTTTCTCGTTCAATAACCTATTAATGCTTATAATGTGCGAAGATTTATAAATGAAAAACTGTTAACGCTCCGTAAGTGGCGTGACGGTGCTAACTTGGCTAAGTAACTGATCATGGACACTTTGATTACTATCTCTCTTCATTTAAATCTACTTTAAGACACACATATAAATAAGTTCTCTAATTTAAATCTATTATAAATATAGAAAAAAATCCAAGTAATATGTACGAAATGATATAATATTGTGGTGAAACATAACATTATTGATATTAGTGATCATGGACAAGCTTCCATCTTAATCCAATAATGTATTACAGGTACCACTAAGCCGGCCAGCACTGTGTAACTCACTAATAGGATATAGTTTATGTATTGTATACAATATTATTGAGTTTCGTCAGAAGAATTACGAATTTATTAAGTGCGTACACTACATATAATATTTAAACGTTGCCATAATAGACTAATAATTAATAAATATAATTTATATCGGATCAATACTAGTTTTTGAGACATATAATACGAAGCCGGACTTACTTCTGTAGTTCTAAATTCAGCTGAAACCTAACTTCCTATTTCTTGAACGTATCTAAAATGTAATAAATCTAGACTTGTCATATTGATATATCACGTATAATACGGCTTATACACATATGTAATACGACTGATTATAACACATTTTGTATTTAATGTCTAATAATTTTATGTATTGCGTTAGTTTTAAAAGAGGAAGAAATTTGTATTATATTTAATGAAAAAAGAATTAGCCTTCAGAGCAAAAATACAATTCAAGTCGATTAATACTTGATATTTCAAAAATCGATTCGGTGTATCTATTATCTTAATAATACATTAATGTCTGTTCTATCATTCAAAGCGTTGTCTAGATTTAGTTGCAGACTAAGAATAGGCAAAAAAATTAAAAAGAAGGAAAAAAGTTTACTTTTCAGTGTATGAAATTTTCAATTTTAGGAAATTTATTTCTGTTAAAACAAATTGGTGCCACCTGATATAAAAGAAATAGACCCTGAATTAATAATTTCATGATCGTCATACATCTCCTAGAACGCCATCTAGCTGTTTGTTTTGATACTAATCATGCCATCTAGTGAACAGAATTAAAACTATTTCATAACTACCTAAAAGTCTGTACACTAGCTAAAGACATCTACCACAGCAGAATCGCTTTGCGGGCCCTGTGGCTTAGCAGCAGCGTGGGGTTTTAGTCGGTAGTGCGTCCTGTTCAGGACGAGAGTCCGACATAATTCTCCTTGTTTCCTCCCCAAACAAGAGAGTATGCATGAAGCATATCCCCACGACAAAATAAAAAACTAAGGAAATCTACAAATTATCCCGTATGAACCTCATAAAAAATTTTTTGAATATTAACTCTCGTAGTAGAAAAGTTCGTAACTTTATTTCAATGTCGTGTTAAATCTTTCAAAACTATTCGTTTTAGTATAATAGCTAAACAAATGAGGGGCAATTTAAATAAAACAAATGATGCCTGTACAATATATTTATTACTCAACTCTAGAACCTAAACAAAATAAAAGCGAAAAAAATTAATCTTAAAATGAAGAAAAAACTTTCATGTCTAATCAGTGTAATCATAAACAGGACTTGTATATAATATTAAGTTTATTTGTCTGGCATTTCAGCCATTTGCTGCTTGTGGCGCCTGATAGCATCTTCATGGCGCTTAATCTGTTCCTGATGGAACGAGATCTCTTTATCTAAATGGCCTTTGATATTCGCCAATTGCTCCTTTTGCTGCAACAAAATGTATCATTTAAAATTGCCATATACAGGGTGACTGGTGAATTACTATCAATATTTAAGGAGAATACTCGGTACATGATTCTCATTCGAATTATGTAAAAAAAATAGGCACTTAATTTTTGACCACATTTCCGTATAAATAAATAAAGTGGTGACACGTTCCGAGTGTTCCAAGTGTGGACGCGTGCGGCGGCGTGCTGATACAACACCACGCCCCCTCACGCGTATGTGTGAGTGTGTGTGTATACCTAATCTGTAGGGTGTTCACACGATGCGTAATTAATTACATAACTTTTGGTTAACTTTACTTAGAAGTTTATTAATATTTATGTTATATTAATTTTTATTTTGTCATATATGATCGTCAAATATCACGTCCTCAAGTATCGATAGTAATTCACCAGTCACCCTGTATACTGTCATATTAGATTGTGAATACAAATTGTTTGTTACATTTCAGTAAATAGTTATACTAATTGTTAATATTTATGGAGTATAAGAAATAAATTTCTATTGTTATATACCTTAACACTAAATCCATGTCGAACTTTGTTATAAAAAAAAACCGATGAACAAAATTTTGTCAAGTTTGATTTACACCTTCAACCAGCAAATATTGTTTGTTTCTGTTCTTTGTTACATGAAGCAACAAACTAGTCATTCTATGTTGATTATTTCAATTGTTTTTTTAATAAAAATTTGTATTAATTTGTTAAATGAGTACTTATAATAACTATATTAATAACTAGCTGACCCGGCAGACTTCATACTGCCTCAATCAAGAAATAAATTATTTCTTAATATTTTTTTGGAGTTTACCTTTAAGTCATAAATCTCCGTGTTCTAAAGTGCGACAGAATGATTGACATATTAGTTAGTTGTCATATCTGATGCTAAAAAACCCGTTTGTATGGGAAATAGAAAAGCCCTGATTTTAGGGTTTTCCCGGAAATTAATTTTTTTTTCAGCTTTTATACCTTCCCTGAACCTGCACGAACATTTCAAGACTAAGATAAGATAAATCCGTTCCGCCGTTCTCGAGTTTTGGCGAGACTAAGGAACAGCAATCCGTTTCTATACATACATATAGATAGATAGATAGATGACTACCTTCTTATAGAAGTACTCATCTTCCCTAGCGGCTTCCATCTTTCCAAAGGCCCCACCGGCCTCACGGATGGAACCACCACCGCCACCACCCTTACCGGCTCCCGAGCCTGGTTCACCGGAATACATCCTGGAAATATATAACCTTATATGTATTATTAGGATAATAACACAATAAAATCATATTAATGTTAAAACAACCATAATTATAATATGTTGACATTTTAATATTATAATTATGTGTTACTATTGATGATATAGAAAACATTACTCATATTTTATCACAACATTGCCAACCAACCAAGGATAAATTCGTCTCTAAAATGCGAATACATTTGAAAACCAGGATAGCATAGGCATAGGACATTGGCCAGTAGAAAACAACCCTTACAATTTACTTTTCATTACACAGATAAACTATACTCATAGAATACTATTGAAAATTTATAAAAAGTTTTGTAAATGTGTAATACTTCAAATGAAATGGAAATTAAAAATGTGAATAGCCCAAAGATACTTTTTTATGGATTGTAGGGCCATTAGTGTTCATAGATTTTACAATATTCAGCAACTAGAACCAAGCTAGAACTAAAATTGATTTATAAATAAATGTACTGTTATCATGAATGCATTTCCAAAGAGGGTTGATGTCAGGCAGGCAGGCAGCCATAAAAAGAATTAGCCAAAACTATTCACTACATATAATGCAGACCCTGGCTAAAGCTGGGAAATTGCCTAGTAGAAGAAATACTGTTATCATCAATGTGACCAAAATGTACATAATATAAGAAATTCTCATAGGTGAGTAAGTGTTAGGCTATGGGACCTAATAAAGATAACAGAAAGCAATAATAACAAAGACATGTTTACTAGATAAGAGTGGGGACTCTTAAATATTAATAGGCCTATAATGTCTAATCTTTAACACGTCACATGTATGCCCCATAAAAAAACAATCATTACAAATAAGATAAGAAACTTTCCCAACTATATTCATTACAAATTTGAAAATTACAAATACACCAATTTACAAAACCAAGGCTAAAGAAGAATTGTAACTATGACCCGGAGACTTGATCCAACTCATAAATGTATGATAAGTACATGGTATACCCTCTAGCCGTCAATCATATCTCTAAAGCCTATGTTAATAAACTCTGGAGTCCTAAACGTCGCTCGTCTAAAAGACATACACTCGGAACAACTTTTCATGATGATAGTCAAAAATTAAACAGCTTACAGATTGTATTCATCTAGAACACATTCAACTTATAACAAATTGGAACTAAAGATGAAGTGGAAACAATCTTCAGTTGTAGCTGAATCTTGGTAAGAAAATTATCCCTCATAGATTTATTGGGCAACATAGTCAAACCGTGTTCAATATAAACAGATTTACAAGATTTAACAAATTCCAATAAGATTGCTGTAAATAGCACTATACTATGTATAACATTTACTAATTAATATATATTTTTTGTTTATAAAATCATACATTGCTTTTGATATATTTAATAAATAAAATACAGTATTTAAAACCAAATATTTTTCAATAAATCTTAATTGAAAAACATTATCTATCTCTATTTGGAATAGATCCAAGAAGACAAAAGAAAACAAAAGAATAGTTTCGAATCAATTGCACACTATATTCATTAAATAGATTTTTTAATTGTTACAATTACTGTTTATTTTTAATATGAACAGATAACAAATATGCATTTATTCATGTAAAAATAGATTGTAACATTTTAGGAACTTTAAATTAGACAGTAAAAGAAAATTTGTTTTTATCTTCTAGTAATTTAAGACCGATGACACACCGGTCAATGGCTGATTTTAGAGTATTGCATAGTCTTATCAACAAGTGAGGACTAAGTGATGCTTCAGCTAAGTAACAGTAAAAAGTACATATGTAACGTAACAATAGTTTATATTCTAAAAAAAGGCGACAACCATTTATAAAATACTAAGTAGATGTTCGGGCTTTCATTCTAAATTTAATTTAAGCTCTATTATTGGTTACTTTTTATTTTTTTTAACATATCAGAGATTGCGGATTGCGTAATCTGGAGCCATGCCGGTTAGGTAAACTTACCTGGTATTAAATACCGCAGGCAAAATACGTGTTCTTGTTCTGGCAAGGAAACTCATCTTTCTTAATAAAATACTATCTATAATAAGTAAATATAAAATGTGCTACGAGATTATTCGCAAAAATAGCAGTTTCAAAATAATAAATGTCAAAAACCATAAACAATTTTGTCTGTGGTACTATCATATGCTTAACAGACTTTGAAAAGATTAAATTATGAGATATTTTATATAATAAATTTTAAAATCAGTGTTAATGCCGTAATTAAACAAAAAGAAAATAGATTTTAATTTCAACTCAAAATCAGATTTTTCGCAGTGGCAATAAATTGACTAAAAACTTTTGTAATTTATCAATAGATGGCGTTAAGTTTTACAGATTTCAAGTTGTTTTTTTTTAATATTGATATTAGCTGTTATGCTATTAAAAAACTTTTTCATAAATCTATCACAATTAGAATTTAAAAGTGTTAAAGATTTTTTCCACTTACGCCATTTCCTGCTTTTTAATCCAAAGAACATGCTTCAACTTTTGCTCAGCAATAATTTTATTCAATTCTGCAGTCTCCCTCATAGCCCTAACCACTTGACGCTCTTCTTTCAAGGACTCCATTTTTAATTGCTTCTCCTTTTCTGTAAATCTGTGAAATAATGGATAAAGTTCAATAAAAAAAAAAAAGTTATTAAAAATGGTAACCTAAATGGTACCTTATAAATTCTTGTATTTCTTTTTGGAATGGAACATTATTAACATTATCAAAGTATGTAGATTCAGTCATTGAAAAGGTTGATTTCTTTCTAATGTTTTGTAATTCTTCAGGCAAGTCAGCATCCATGTCTGATATTTGATCAGATATAGTTGATGATGATGATTCTAAAGTTATAGTGTCATTGGTTTTTTCTTGAGAACTTTCTGGGTATGTAAAACTGTTCTCACCACTGCAACTTGGTTGACTTATGTCTCTGTAATCATTAAAAAATATATAAATATTACAAATATCAATGTATGCATTTCCTTCTACTTTAATTTTGATTATAACAAATGTAATAAGATCTATAAATATATTTTTCATCAATTATCTACTTACTCATCCACACATTCAGTCTTTATTTCAATATTAGCTGTAAGTGAAGGTTCAGAACATTGTTCAGCTTCTGTTTTGAGCACACCATCTCTTATTATATCTAGAATACTACAAACTTCTAATGACTGTCTTGAATATTTCTCGAGAGCCGGTCCATTATTCGTGATCTCCTCGCGAGCTATACGTTTCATGTTCTGCCACTGAGTCTTCACCTTCTTAATTGAAAACGCATTAAACTTACTTCCAAACTTTGAAGCCAGTTTTCTAAGTATCTCGTTCCAAGCGACATCTTTCTCCTCGGAATGATTTGGACCGTTGTTGCTTTTTGTTATAACAATCTCTTTATGCACCTTAATTAGCTCTAGTAGGCATTGTTTTTCTTCTAAAGACCAATTCGGAGTCCGTGATCGTCTGTTCGTAATTTTTACCATTTTACGAGCAACTTCTCGGGGATCGTGATTAATTTTTTGCAACGTTTTATTACAAACGATGCACTCAACGTCCAATATTATCGGCTTCAACATTTAAAACAACAGACGGCGAAACTATTGAATAAATTTGACAAGCGGACAGTACCACTAATTGTGTGTCGACTGTTTAAAAACTTATTTAATAATGAGGTTCCCTTTCATAGTGTTCTATTGATGTAAATACATAAAATAATTGAATAAGACATATATTCCATGCGGCAACGCTTTAATTATGCATTTATTTTTTGTTTAAAAGTAGTGTTGACTCTTTTCGGGGTATCATTTCGCGCGCTTTATTGAATATTGAGATCATATTTAAAAGTCATAAATTTGAATTGCTTCAAAACTCTTTATTTGTGTCATTAAATTATTTTTAATAAAATTTTTAAGAATGTTGACGTTAGCATTGTCTTAATGCTAGTTTGTCAATGAGGAATATGTAATTAGTTAAGTTTAAACATTTTTTATTAAATGAGTTACGTGAACTATGAGAGTAAGATCTTAAATAACAATATATTTCTTTTATACTGTTTAAATATAAATCCCGATATTTTTTTGTGTATTTTCAATAATATTTTGTATTTAATAATTGTGTTCTTCAGGAAGGTTTGTAAGTGTGTTTGTTTAATGAAATTATTAATTCTTATTACAGGAAGTTCATGTTATTGATGATATAAAGTGATTTTTAGATTAATTAATAAATTTATAAAGTGTATTCATATTGTGTATAACAGTGACAAACCCCGAGTATGTTTGACTGTTTTAATAAAATTTGTCTTAAAAGCAGAGAAACTAATTAAACTAAAATATTAGTTAATATTTTTATAACCATCCCTTTTTAATGCTAAAGAGGGCAACCGAGCAGACGGCCTACCTGATGGAGGTAGTACTGTCACCCATGGACATCCGTGAGAGATGTTGCGGATGTGTCGCAATCCTTGATTAGGGAAGAGGTTCTTGAAAAAGTGGGAAAGGGAGGGAAAATTGAAGGGGAAGGAAGAGATGGGAAAAAGGAAAGGGCAACGATCTCTCTCACTCATCGGACGAAACGTAGCCATTAAAGACTACTTCACGGCGATCTTCTGTGCAAGGGTAGTACTTCCCCGGTCGAGCCAGCCCATGATCGAGCTGTAGTAACTTGACTACAGCTAGGCTCTACCATCTACAAAATGATGAAATTGTTGATATTGGTATTTCGGAACAGTGCTATTGAAGAGATTACTATTCAAGATACAGTAGAACTCCAATTATCCGAACTCCGACTATCCGAATCGCCGATTATCGGAATCACTTTCAGAAATACAATTGTCCAAAAAAAGTCTAAGTGCGCTATTATTCTTCCCTACGCGAAGTCAGTGTAGGCACAACGGCAAGTTAAGACCGCAAAACAGCTTACATTGACGAAGATGTTTAAAAAACAATGATTTTTATTTCTAAACTTGTACATAAGTACAATTTATTTATATTTAAAACATGTGAAAATATCATGTTTCTTTCATTTAATTCAATAAAAAAATAGCGCAATATCAAAACGTAACTTTTTTTCTCTCCAATGGCAATTAAAAAAAAAACTCCGATTATCCGAATATTTGATTATCCGAATGAGTCCCGGTCCCCATTAATTCGGATAATTGGAAGTCTACTGTAATCTAAATATTTTTTCAGATATTTTAAAACTTTATCCTTGTTATTACCATTTTCTTGATCGCCGATATTATTAGAAGTTTACAGCAGTACAATAATTAAATTCTACCCAATGACGGGTTTTTATTTCATAAAATCATGATTTAGTTAGCAGAATGTACTTTTTGCAATATTTACAATAATATAAACATTGTTTACCTTATCTAGGAGGTAGGGACAAATTAGTCGCTTAATACTAAAAAGGTTTTATATCTTTATTAAGACTATTGGAATGTAACGGTAATTAAAAATAACTTGTTTAGATCTATCTAGATAAAAAATATATTGTATATTCATGTCGCTGAATATAATGACCCTATTTATATATGTAGAATGTAAGTATGTCCTAATTAGGAGTTTGAAATACATTAATAATTAATGATTCAGGCACTTTCAATAGTTTGAATATTCTAGAGTACTAATTAAAACTAATAATTTCGTATGTATGTACGTATGTATGTACTACGTTTTATTTTATTATTTTAATAAACAGATAGTCAGTGGTGGCCTAGTGGGTAAGGGGCCCGCCTCTCGTTGCCGAGGGCGCGGGTTCAAACCTGGCAAGTGCCAATGTGATTTTTCAGAGTCATATGTACTTTCTGAGAGTATTTAGACATCACTGACATACGGTCAAGGAAAACATCGTGAGGAAACCTGGACTTATAGTTTCACAATTATAAGTTTGAAATCACCAACCCGTCTTGAGCAAGCGTGGTGATTAATGCTCGAACCTTCTCCATGTGAGAAAGAGGCCTTTGCTCAGCAGTGGGCTCTGACAGGCTGATGATGATGATGATGAATAAACAGAGGAATTTATACAAGAATCCGAACTGTAAATTATAAAATATTAATTATTAAATCAATTACAGCTCGTGAACTAAATGCAATCTACGTTGCCGTATGGGACAGTAGTTTTTAAACTACGCAGTGAAATTTGATTTTTTTGTTAGATATTTTATAATTTATATTTCAAAATACCGATATTATGAAATTACGAGTCTGATCTAAATAAGTTTTATATTTACTTGTATTGATACTATGGAAATGAATATTATTAAAATTAAATACCTCACACAAATATCAACATTATGGAAGAAATTTAAAAATATAAAATGTAACTACCTAGTAAATATGTAATTGTATTTTAAATACATATATATATAAGTGGAACATATGCCGTTGTACAGGCTTTATTAAAAAAAGGATTTTGCCTGAATTTAGTTTATTATAAACCAGATAAATATTGTTTTGATAGAGTTGAATTTATAAATAAAAGACAGAATCAAATATATTTTCAGATTTCATAGATTTGTAATTAATATTTTGAACCAGAATCATTGATTATAATTTAATTTTAGATTAATTAAACGAGTTATTTTGTTTATCAATGGAGGATTTTTATTTTTTTAAACTATATAATAGGTATTATGTACTATATTGGACCAAATTTTTGATTTCCATGCGACAATTGTATATTTGTATAGATAGTTTGTAACGTATTTATATAACACACTAAATTAGTATATTATAATTTTGATACTACATATTAAGAAAAAACTATTTATATTAGAGAGTTTTGTCGCTCTTACATTGAGTTCAGCTCCATAGAGATATGGAACAAAAGAATTTGCGTTTTTTTTCAGTGAAGTGTACTTATCTATCTATATTATTGATCTCATCAAGATGTTAGGAGTGCAATATGTTTCTAGAGATTATTCTTATTCTTCGAAATGGAAATTCAAACGTATTTTATTACACAATATTACATAATTTATATGCTTCTGATTTCTGAACCTGTTTCTTACTTTGATGATTTAAAAATGACTTCTACAAATTTAAAAACAATAGGGAGTTGTAAAATTAAATACGAAAAAGAACACAGTTAATATAAAGAACACGATGGTCAACTTTGTGGAGATCTGAAAATCATCACTTTAATGAGATCAAGACTTACGCAAGTCTTCATTTAAATGGAACTAATATTTTCGGATTACTACCCGTTTTTTTATCATTTTTAAAAACTACATACTTACTCCCGACGTTTCGGTTACTTTGCAGCAACCGTGATCACGGACAGACGAGACGAGACTTGTATCATCACTTTACTGTTACGCAAGTGATCAAATTATAGGATACATACATAAAAGATATAAAAAATGTTGTTTTATTACTTAGCTAACAGATAAAAATAAATAATTTGATTGAGAATTTTAATGTCTTTCATTCAGTGGTACGACTTAAACACCCATGGTACGATTTAAAGACTTAGTGGTACGATTAAAACGACTAGTCGGCTAAATCGTACCGATGGCAAGCCTCTACAAAAAAGCATTTTTAACAATGTTAGAATAATCGCAAGGATCTGTTCTCTTCTTCTTAGGAAGCTAAAATATGAAACTTTATTTTACATATGTATTAATTATTATAAGACGTGTTATAGTCCAAATATTTGAGTTAAAGTGAAAAGTGGTACGATATATCCGACTCTCCCCTACAAGTGTAAAACTTCATTTTTCAGAGTCACATTGGATTGTTTTTTTTTTTTGACAATCTTGGAGATTATAGTGCAGAAACAAACGTGGAAACAAGTTATCGATGTTTATTAAAAAAATATGAGGGCTAATTACTTTTGGTAAATTAAACGTAATATATAACATTATTGATAATCTCAATAAAAACAATCTACTAACAGACGTAAAAATGTCACACAAAAGACATCTTGTCTGCCCGTGATCACGGTTTCTGTAAAGTAACCGAAACGTCGTGATTATGTAGTTTTTGATAAAAACAAAAATGCACGTAGCACGAGTACACCCGAAAATATTAGTTTCATTAAAATGAATACTCGCGAAAGTCTTAGATCTCATTGAGTACTCTAGTAATTAGTGCACCCGATTTATTTTACTTTAGTTTCCAAACATATGTATGCATTTCATAACAATTACTTTAATGTTAAAAAAAGTGGTTTCCTTTAAAAAAATATGTGATAGGGCAATTGAGCACATATTGTTGTGTTCAAACTACCATACCTACATTAGAGATATTTTTTACTCATATCAAAAAACGATCAAAAAGTAATCTTCTGTTTGCTCGTGCTATGATTACTATATTTTTTCTTAACATGTTATAAAGATATGAAACAATTGTTTTAAAACCCCCATTAAATCGAGTGCGTGTATTTCAAGATGTCATCTATCTCTTGTAAATTATTTGTTGAAGAACAATTACATGAAATAAATCCTAAAGAAAGTAACCATATACAAATCTGAACTGAACGGTCAAAAATAAAACAAAAATATATGATATATTAGATTGCTTTACAATTTTACGACTTATATAAAATTTTGTATATTTTATTAAACAAAATATGA